AGCAAATAATAATAAAGAAATTCGCATTATTAAAAAAAGTCTGTGAATTGTTAAGTTTATGAGCCTAATATAAGGCTTGTGAGCCTACTATAAGGCTCAGCTCGACTCGAGCCTAACTTATAAACTCAGGCTTGAGCCGAGCCTAAGATTTTTGAGCTCAGCTCAGCCTGAGCTTTATGAGGCTCGGCTCGGCCTATGAGGAGCTTTAGTCATGAGTCAATTTCTACCGATTGGTAAGTATAAATAGCATGTAACTAGAGTAATTTTAAGTAATAGAAAAAATCTACAAATGAGATATCTCAAAATAATTCTCGAAACTAAAGCTGACACTCCAAGAGGATATTTCCTAAATATCAAGGTACACTTTCCTAGCAAGTTACATGACTATCTTAATAACTTACCTCCAGCAGTTGAGAATATTGTAATAAAAAAGAATCAGCTTAGTTCATGTAATAATAAGTTGGTAGAAGATTTAGATGAAGGTCGATTCTCAGAAATAAAGAAACTAATTCCACATCTTGGTCCTAGAAATGATCTAATAAATAGTTATGTAATTCATTATCAAGAACTTCAATATTACGTAAAATTAGGAATGGTTGTGGATGAAGTGATCGAAATACTTTCATTCGATCAAACTAACTGGCTTGCTCCATATATACTAAGTTACGTCAAAAAGCTAAAAATGATTTTGAAAAGGATTTCTTCAAGCTTATGAATAATTCAGTATATGGCAAGACCATGGAAAATGTTTGTAAGTATCAAGATGTTAAGATTATGGCCATGAATAATGATAATAATAAGAAGAAGTTTCGAAAAAAGGTATCTAAACCCTCATTCAAATATGCCAGACAATTATCTAATACTCTCATTGGTGCTCATATGGGTCAAGCATCTGTAGTTCTTAATAAACCAATTATTGTTGGTGCATCAGTCTTGAGACTTAGTAAGTTATTAATGTATCGATTCTAGTATGGATATGTAAAAGAAAAATATGGTGATAAAGCTAAGCTCGGATATATGGATACCAATTCATTTATATTTCAAATTGAGACTAAAGATATCTATAAAGATATGGCAGAAAGACCCGATATTTTCGATCTTGATGATTCCAAGACTATTGGTCTATTCAAGGATGAATGTCCAGGTAAAATAATAACTGAATCTTTCCATATCCGAGCTAAAACCTATCACTATGTTATATTAGACAAATCTACCAGATCGAAACATAAGGGGTTAATAAAGGAGGTATGATTGAAATGGCAACCAAAGTTAATACTATTACCTATGATCAAAAATTAGGAGGAACTTTGTTAGATGATCCAGTTCCAGAAAATAAAATAGTAGATCCTATGACTTTGATATATCGAGATTATCTCTTTAATAATGAAATATTCCATGCTAAAAATATAAAATTTCGATCTAAGAACCATGTATTATCATTGGTCGAATCTGAGAAAAAGGTTCTCTGTCCTTTTAATTCAAAGAATTAGGTACTTTCAGATAAAATTACACCTTGGGCATATGACCATTGGAAAACTGATACGTATAAAAGTATGGTTAAATTAGGTATGTCTTCTGAGTTAGCCGAAAAAAGAGTAATAATAGCTCAGTATCATTTGACATTAGAAAACAAGTATATGGTAAATCTAAAGTTACTTATTTAGAATGTAACCAGAATCATCGAATCCATCTCATGGCAGTGAGTTAGATTTACTAATGATAATATCTACCTAATACAAATTTTTTTTTCATAATATAATAAATATCTAATTTGAAGGTTTATAGATATGATTAATCGATATTAATATCGAATAGACCATATGTTTCAAAATTTTTTTTATACAGGATATAAAATAATTCTATTAGCTTAATTAGCTTAAGAAACTCCTTATATGGTACATGCTCTATTTTATTATTACGAACATAACTTACATCTTGCTTATGAAGTAAAATTCATTTAGCAATAAATCCACCAAGAGATAAAATCTCAAAATTATTGTTATATATTCCTTTTGTAACTAGTTTTTCTTTATATTTATTGATTTGTTTATTAATTTCATTATTACTAGAGGTTAACATGTTAAGTAATAATTGAGTAAATATATAAAGTGAATAAAAATTCAATCTGTAATTATTTATCGAGATATAGATATATTTTTATATAGCCCGTGGTTACGAAGCAATAATAAAAATGTCAACACGAGATATGCTAACAGAATGTGGTCTAAATTAGTACAAGCTGATGACTAAAATTATATGAAGCTCCAGAAACAGATACGTAATTAATTATTGAGTTATATAAAGTGATACCACACGATATTTTTTCGTTTAACGAATTATATTTACCTAATGTAGGAAAGCAAGTCGGCCTACCCGTCTGCCATATTTATTTTTTTTGGTTAGCTCCATCGTCATATATAACTCCAGAGATAAAAGTAAGTGAGAATAAGTAAGTAAATAATTATCATATTGATTTTTGATTGGCTATATAGTAGAGCTAATGTCAAAACACTTAAAATAATGTATACAAATTTGCTTGATCTTATTCCGCCTGAATTGATACCATCTATTACAAAGAATCTCCCGATCCAAGATCTTAAAAATTGCTGTAGTCTAGATAATATATGGAAAACCGAAGTGATTAGAGAAATTCGCAAAAGATTAATAGTGGACTGTACATTCATTGATAGTAAAACAACTGTTAAAGCACTTATTGATCTCAAATCCCAGTATAACAGTATCAGTAAAGCACTTGTCAAAAAAATGGACTTATATATTTCTAGAGATTGGGGATCACGATATCCTGCAGTGAAAAAACTTGGTGTTGGTGCAACAAATGCTGGCAAGAAAGTAATGGTGAGAGGTTGAACTGATAAAGAAAATATTTCTGTTTCTTTACCTAATATCTTTGAGTTGAAACCCCCTCCTTATATTTGGAAAAATCATATATGTATTTTGTAGTCATTGACAAACCCGAATATGACTTAGTTTTGGAAAGTACGTGGCTAACGAGATTGGGTGACAGGATTGATGAGCATGATGGAAAATACTGGAAGACTAATGAGGAAAAAAGGATATATTACGTAAGAAAAAAATTGATATAGTATCCCCTTCATTATATACATTTTACGAATTATTATTTTCTAAATTTACCACAATTAATTCAGATGGAGAAGTTATATTAATCGAGTTTTCTGATCAAAATGTGAAGAATACCTCAATTGATCTAAACGAATATTACGATTCAGAATATTCTGAAACGGAGTCTGAATCTAGCGATTCTAAGACTAAATCTGAATTTAGTAATTCCGAAACTGAGTCTGAATTTAGTGATTTTATTTCTGTATTAAGATCCTTTAGGAATAATTCTTTGAATTATAGACTAGCATGATTATGTTAAACATTTTTTTCAGATTTGAATCGAGTAAATGTGTGTATAGCGGAACTAGTGTCTTTGACACATATGTATACATGGAAATGCACCACCTGACACTTCTGGCATAATTTCATTTTGTAGTAAGATATTTTAATTGCATTGATAAACCGCGATCAGGATAATCAGATTTTTTACGTATGACGTTACATGTTTCTATTTTCCCGTGATCATGAGTATATGTTTGAGATAACGTGGATGCAAAGGAATAAGCACTTTACAGGTTAGATCCACATGTTTTTGTGCGACCCAATTTCTCACATATACCCTCATTCGCCGTTTTTTAATTAATTTTAATGTTTTTCGCCGATTCTAAATTCAACTTTCCTATATATTGATTCTGCTATAATAAAAACTATATCTTTCCTTGTGCCGTTTCAGATATAATTTCAATTTGAGTTGGGGTAATTTTTAAGCAATATGTGAGCAGGTATATAGGTGATATGAGGTGAGAAAAGATGGGTGTTTTCAGAAACTTATATGAGTTATGTCTACCAATATTTCATGCCTCGAAACTTTTGCCTTAAATATTCTTAAGGATTCATCTCCGGAAAAAATTGCAAGCAATATTAATATTCCCGAACTAGACCCGTGCTCGTTATGCAATCAAGAACTTTTTTTGTTTGAAATAAAAAACCCGATTACCATACTGGTCTGTGGCCATATATATCATTGTGATTGTATCGAAACTTCTATCAAAAAACGTTCAATGTGTCCAAAGCCCGATTGCAAGAAGGAGGTAGAATCTATGGTTGACAGCATGCCTGGAAGTCAGAATATTAATGATCTTATGGATATATCCCCTACACTATTTAACGACCCTCAACTATATGAGAGTAGCCCACAGAAAAAACGTGCCAGTGAATCCGTATCGGTAAGAGAAACCACGACTAAAAAGATTAAGAAGGCCGATGGAAGGAAGGACAAAGATTATCCCATGTTGAAAAAGCTTATTGAGGAACTGAAATCGTCTAATTCTTCAAGTAGTACCGCATCTCAAACCGAGTATATAACGAGACCAGGTAATTTTACTGATTTATACGATGCAATTATTAAGGCCGAGGAGCGAATTGGAAGTACAAATCAAGAAGTTATTAGAGCATATTTTTTGTTTGGAAAGAAGCTTGAAGAGAAGTTGGCAGAATATATAAAAACTAATAAAGAGCGTAAAGCTCAGAGATTGCTTACCAAAGAAGTGTCAGCGCAACTACCATCTGATCTATCGAAGAATGCAGTAGAAAAAAGAATAGAAAGGGCGAGAAAAATTTATGATCTGTTTACTACGATTGGTGAGGATAAAATAGAAAGGGTTAAGTCGTATTCAGCATTGCGAATCTCCAAGTTAAGCTGGGACGAGATTGATGCTATAGTAGAGAAATTCGAATCCTAGTTACTGCGCCAAGAGCACGTGATTTTCACTGACCGACTCGGTCAACGAAAGCATCCACCCGATATTTTTTATTATTTTTCCGACAATTCCTAAATATTATCATGTAACGTATCTGTGAAATATAATAATAGCAATAAAATAAAGTTCACCCAAATCTTGGGACTTATGTCATAATGAATTACATATAAAAAACTAACTCTTTATTGATATGATAAATATGTGATAATAATATATATATCACATAACTGATATAGAAAAATAAAATAAATGCATGACCTTAAGCTGAAATATATGTACTACTGAGCAAATTATAATATCTACGATTAATTTTTTTTCTCGAACGCTCAGGTTCACTATTTTAGATAATGCCTACACCCATTTATATTAGAAAAAGATAACGTAATACATATACATAAGAATAGCTTATAATTACTCTAATAACTCTTGAAGCACAATGTCAAAGCTTATCGTTAGACCACATCTAAGGGTAATAAATTGGTTCCAATCCATTTTGTACCATATCTCATTAAGATTTAAATCCCAATGACATACATAGGGTGCTCTGGCAGGTCGTGTAACTTGACTAGTTGCATGAACCTTCATTTCAGTTTCAGGTTTAGGGTGAAAAGGGTTTAGTCCAGAAGAAAGACCTATTGCCACGAATTCAATGCCAGTCGTATTTTGCTGAAGAAAATTAATCTTGTTAAATGCATAACTACGATCGCTGTCAATGTTATAGAATACCTGCAAATATCAAATAATTTTAACCAATACTGGCCACATTTTCAAACAGAAAATCAATAAATTACCTCAATCCAAACATTTGGAGGTGGACATGAAAAAACGATCGGCATCCTTCTTTGTGGAAGAGTTGGGGCTCGAAACCACACACCTACATCAGGTCTGTACTGGTTGCCTCTGACTACACATAAAGTGTTGCTACTTGCCCACCATTGATTTTGGCTTTCGAACGAATTTTCGAGTCTTGTATGAATTCTCTCCTTTTCTCCACCATCACACTGAAATGATACAAAAATTAATGAGAGTATGAGAGATATTTAAGCAATAGTGAAACTTACTTTGATGAATAGATTATCTCCGATTATTTCAGCATTGAAGGCATTATGGATATCTTCACATACTTTAAGGTCGCCAAGTTCTCCAGCAGGAAAATTGATCTTTATAATGCCTGAATATTCTCCTTCCAGCTTTTGTTCGATTTTAGCGTGGATCTTTGTAAATAAAAGCTCATTAACCATAAATATTTCGTTCCATTGTTTTTAAGTACCATAATATCATTATATACCTCGTCAAATTTTGATTGCGTAGAAATTGAACCATTCATAGATACATTTTCGTTTTTTTTGTAATTCTGAATATTGGAAATAATTATAACTTTGATCTGCTAGTTTTGCACAACGTTACAAAAATACCTGAATGCGGAAAGAGCCTTTAGATTCCATATTAGTAAGGGTTGCCATATTGAAAGAGTGTATTACAAGGCTTTTCAGAATCCGGATAACGAGATAACCAAAGCAGGCAATCAAGGCAATCAAGAAATAAACAGGAAAGAACTGAAAAGGCTTAGATTATTGTTATTTGTTCAATCCGAGGAAGAATTCATCCAGAAAATGCATACCACAATAATAACAATAATAGTAATAATTGCAAAAATGATTTCCGCTACAATAATAGTAATAATCGCAGAAATGATTATTGGAATGCTGGCTACAACAATTATGAAACGATAAATGTAAGACATCAAAATTCTGATTTTCAGGTACATTCTACATTCTTATTATTAATCAAATCATGTAAAAGTTAATTATTAATCAAATTATTAAAAGTTACATCAGAAGTTTTTATTAATCAAATAATTAATCAGATTTTGGTTTTTATTATTATTATTAAACGTAATTATATACTATTATCGATTGATATTATTACCAAAGCATGAATCATTGTAGATCATGCAAAACATTTATCCAAATGAAACGATTCTTGAAAATTTTTCTTAAAGGCCTATCTACAATTTAGATATTAAGTTATATACTGTATATTATGATTATAGGTCGAAAATTTTAAATGCTTGATTAACGAAACCCTTAATTTTTTGAATCCTTTCAGGAATAACTATTTCTGGTTTTTCATCATACCATACCTCAAGTAGGAAAATTCCGTTATCTTGACATATACATCTTTTTTTCCGATCACGATTTACAATATCCTCGAGTTTTTTAACATCTTTATACCAGCTGGTATGATGGAGCCGATGTTGTGCCCCTTGCACTTCCAGTGCGATTCGATGGCGTTGGAAGAAAGCATCAAGTTCTAATCCCTCCATAAAAGATGGACGGTATTCAACTACAGGTTCTTCTCCAAGTAATACTTGAGCTATTAGGATACATTTTCCCTGGAATTTACGATTTTTCTTAGACTCTAGTTCTTTTTTAAATTCATCTAAATCCTGTTTTAACTTTATATTCTCAGTTTCAACTTCTTCTTTGTCATATTTTAACTTCGTATTCTCGGTTTTGATTTCAATATTCTCATTTTTTAATTCATCTATTCCCTTTTCTAATTTTATATATTCAGAGTAGAATTTATCGTGAATTCTCTCCCTATCAATAATAAGAAAGCTGAGATTGAATTGCAATTTCTTTACCAATTTATTGATCTCTTTATCTTCGAATAATCTGGATTCAAGAACTCGTTCAAAAACCATTTCTTCTTCAGGAAATATTTTTACCTCATTCCAAAGATTTTCAAATCGTTGCCACACCAATTCTGGTAAATTAATTTTGGGTTGTGTATTTGCCATTGTTTGTGAAGAATCAGAGTTTATCCAAGGATCAAGGCCGGTTTCTTCCTTATAACGTTTATATAACTTAGGATGAATCTCATCTGTCAAAATGCTTGGCAAATCAGTTAATTGAGCTTGCCACTCCAAATATTCAGGAGTTAATGTTTTATGAGTTTTTGATTCTGTGCTTTGTTCTTCCATATTAACGTTTTACATAATCGTAAATCAATTCAAATTAGGTATTAACTTTTTCGTAGCATAATCACGTATCGATTGTGGAAAAAAATTCACGCACTTTTGCCAAGAAAAAATCTCGATCATATGTGAAATAGTTAACATCAATATCAATACAACATAATAAACCCCGAAATTCTCGATCATATGCAGTGTAGATCATATGTTATATCGGAATAAATTCGATTGACTAAAATACATTACACAAAAAATAACGCATGATACATTGTACGTTCCTCTAACCAAAAATCTTTATTAATAGCAGAGCTAGTGTCTTTGACACAGGCACGTGAGTGCCCTTATTCCATAAGTAAATATACGATAAAAAATACATATAAAAAAATTCGTTTCAAGAAAAATTCCCGGGACCTAATTCCAATTGTTCGGTCTCGGAAATGCCAAGAAAAATTATTTCGGAAAAATTATTGATTATACATATACATTACACAAAAAATAACACATGATATGTTTGTATGTTCCTCTAACTGAAAAACTTTATTAATAAAATATATATGATAAAAAATACAGGATAAAAATACAGGATAAAAATACACGATAAAAATCTATGGATAATCATCTCGTGGTGTAGTAACTGTTGTACTCCCTTCCTTTAATCTTTGAGATGATGTCACTGTACCATGATACAGCAAAGATAGGTTAGTAATTATTAAATTACGCAAAAGTAATAAAGTTTCTATAAATTCATATACAACCCTTCCATTTGAAAATTGTACTGGGATTTCAACAGACCGGAGATGGTAATATCGATGCACATTTCTTATATCTCGAACAAGTAAATTTAAATGTAACTCATTACCTGCAATTTGTACACCAACAATATCAAATTGATCCTTATCTGGTTTAAGAGTCTGACGCACCCAAAAAAGCCCATCATTGCATTCTCTCCATAACTTAATATCATCATTGATCTTTTTTTTGAACAGTACAAATTAAGCGGGAACATTTAACATACATAAGTTCAAAAATTGTTTCCCGATATTTTGCCACAAACATGATATCTGGACATCTCCCCATAAATCCATCCCCTTTTCTGTTAGCACTGGCAACACTTTGTTTTTCCAATGTACTAATGAAAAAAGAATCACCAATAGGAAGATTTTTTAACAAAGCTCGAATTGCTGGTAATATGATAGTTGATTGGTATGTTCTCTCACTTAATGTTTTTGCAAATTCAGAACTGAAAGCGGAATTGTTTCAAATATCTTTTAAAACACCAAGAATTTCTTTAGTTACATTTGCGATACTTTCTTCAGACTCTTTCCAAGTTCCATCGTGAACTAATTTAGTATATATCGGTCCATCTTCAAGTTTATTAAAATCTGTTACAAACTCGTTACACATTTCCTGAATAATAGTAAAGGGTTTAGGTGTCATTTTGCGAGTAAGTTTCTAGGACAAGTTTCGGAGAAATAATAATTATACCATTAGTAAATGAAGCGTATCAATTTATAACTGCTTTGTGGTTATGAACAAGTTCTAGTTTACAAGACAAAAAATTTACCATAAATCCCTTTTTTAAATTTCCAGACAGTTGATTCACAAGCTCTGATTTGTCACTAATAACCTGACTAGCCAAGGGATTCTTCCAATCCAACTTCGTAATATCCATATTAGATACACTAGAATACAGATGACAATATAAAGGACTTGAATCTCTTCCGAGTTTTCCTTTTAATTCATTTACATTATTGTCGATTTGTTCTAAACTAAGGGGTTTCTCTTTATTCGTCTTAATAATACCAAGATCATACAAAGTGGATACTCCTTCAAAAGCATCTTCAAACTAAAAAATAAAGCACTAGTTTCAGTGATATAATTATTTTGCGATCGCGAATCAGATACATCATTAAATAATGCTTTATATTATCAGTACATATGCAAAGTTATTATTTTTGTGCGGCCGACACGTCAATAAAACTCTGTGTGGTATCAATTTACTACATAGTAATATAACTTCATTATTCTTCATGCAGGCGATAAATTTTTCTCGTCAATGGGTTAGTAGGATAAACTACATTACTGCATAACAGTCTATAGCTTAAATATCCCTCCACTGTCGAGCAAGTGTTTATCGTGAGATGGTTAATAGAATAATCAAGTCATTTTTCGGTATTTTATACCAGCTTATGTTGAAATATTTTGAATGATAAACCACATAGTATCATCATATAACTTTAAATAATTACGGAGCAAAAATATAATAACAAACCTGTGAAAGGACCTTAATAAGTTTTAATTGACGTGAAGGACTACTTGGATTTGAAATACTAATGTATCCTACAACTCGGTCAACAATTGATCTCAGCTCAGACTGTGGAATCCATGGGTTTTCTTCTAATCCTTGATGTATAACTGCAGTAGCATTTATATGACGTTCTTCAGCATTGATCAAAAAATTATGAATTTTGTTTTGTAAATCAGTAGACATATTGATAAGAAAAATATTAGTTTTGTTAGGTAATATACTCGCAAATAAAGCTTCAACAACATCGGTATACTCTCCTTTTAACACTTCTCAATATTTCCCTTTTTTAGTATCTCGTCTTATGGATTAAGAAAGAAGTTAATATATGCATGAGAACAAAGAGTATGTATATATCTCGAGTCAATTATTCAAACCAGGTTATCGATATCTCTATTTGTAAAAGGTACAACATAGTGTTTTAATTTTGCGATAAATATAAATAAAGACCGATGAGAGTAAAAAAAAGCAATATTATATATCCACTTTTGAGAAATTTTTCACATAGATATGCAAGGTGTAAGGGGTGCTAATTAAATTTGGTAATCAGTGTATCGCATGACCTAATAATACATATGGGTTCTATTACATTCAAATTCCTTCTATGGTACATATCATATGATAGGTTAATTATTTTAGCGGAAATATTAAATTACACAAGTTATTTAATCAACTATAATCACTGGTGCAAGTGGTAAATCCTCGAATCTTTTTTCAATATGAGCTAAAACCTTTCTCAATAATATCTTAGATGGAGGTACATCTATCAATACTTTCTTAGCAACACCCTCGGTATATATATATACCCACATTATATGGATCAACTTTCCTCCTTTATAATTATATCCATAATGTTACAAAAATCGATACTCATTCATTACAATATCTATCATCTCCTCTTGACCTGTTATCAATTCACGAAAAAACTATTTATCCTCTTCTGTTATGGGGAGATAAATTTCCTCAAGCTCAAAGCCTATATATTGAGATAGTTTTTCACGTAGTTCAGTCATTATATAGTAAATACATAATAATTATTAGTAAAAATGATTCGTTATCAATATCTATTTATGTTATAAATCTCGTAACACAATTGCACTAAAAATAAATCTTGTTCTAGTTATATATATTATACCTGCCACCCAAATTCAAAATCCAAATGCCAAAATCCCAAATCCCAAATCCCAAATTATGATTAGTATTTTTTGCCAAAATCCCAAATCCCAAATCCCAAATACTAGTAATTTGGGATTTTGGCGTCCCAAATCCCAAATGATTTGGGATTTGGGCAACACGTATAATATATATAGGTCTAAAAATCATTAATTTATTATATTTAATCAATATGCCTGGTTTTGATATTACAACTTTTCTCGATAAGAAAGATAGAACATTACCTAAACCCTTTAATATTCGTCCTGGGTATGATCTTAAATATGTCACTTCGTACATTGGATATTATTTTGCTTTTGATGGAAAACGATATGACGAACTCTTCGATAATGAGAGATTGTTTGACAACCTGTCTACTATAAAACACAACGAAACACTGGTTCAATGGGGATACGAGTCAGAGTACCTTTACAGAATTCGTTGAACACTGGAAAATTTAGTGTGTACCATTGATATTATCTATTTATATCATTTGGTCAAGGTAAATTTGTTAATTTTGATTATCGTAGACTGAGAATTTATAAGAGCCATATGGCAATTTGTTTTGGTTGCTGGAAACTCGTAAAAATTGATGATGTAACATCTAAAAAATCATTTTATTTTACTAGAGAAAGGTATGTTAATCGTCTCGTACCTAGTGATTTGATGATCAGTCATTGGAATAATGAATCTGATAAACCGAAAATTGATTTTGGATATGCCAAAGTTATACAACGGGCATATAGACAATTCCAAGAAAAAATACCATCAAATGTACACCTTGTTTGGTTAAGTTTACTGAATGATAATACTACAGATGATGAGAAATTTCTAGGTCTAATCTCTCGTAAAGTGAAAAATCCCACATCCATAGATTAAATTAAAATACGTCTTAATAATGAATATGCTGAGTATATAAAAAAATATAATAGATATTCTTTTGTTGGTAAATATGAAATTGGAACATATAAAGAATACATTATTCCGTATGATTGGATAGGTTCTAAAAAATGACAATTGAGATATCGATTTCAAAAGCGACTTTTAGAACTTGAAGCATAATATATACATTTATTTAATTAATTTATTTTTGTATATAAACTTGTTTTATGGGATACAAAAACCCTACTATAGTCACTTTATAACTACAAAGTAATTAATCATATTTATCTATTTTTCACATCCACCCCAATTCCAAATCGACTAGATACGATCAGCTTCTCAATAATATAAGAAGTGGTGAATAGAATGTATTTTATTTCTGCATTAATAAATAATGAAAAAATAAATAATTATTATTGCTACTGCAACCCATTACTGTGTCAGTGACATTGCTATTTTTTCTTTTGACACAATTTTATTTCCTTTTGCAAATTTAATGGAGTATCGAACCTTAATCGAATTGCAAGTGGATCGTCTTCAGGTTTATCTAGATCAAATACAATGAACTCACCTTTACGTAAATAGCTATTAATAACCATTGAAGCATTTTTTACATCATCTGTGTATCGTCTAATAATTTTGGAGATATCTTCATGTGAGCTACCAGAGTTAAATATTACTAAGTAAGAGGTATTTTCATACATAAATGTAGTGATTTTATGATATTTCTGTGCTATGTATATGCATGAAATATTTTGATGTCGTCCATTTCCAAAAAATTGACCAATTTTATTCTGTATATGCTCTGGAGCAAGACATAAATTTTCAAAAATAATTGTTATACTTTTCTCAGATGAAAATGCTCTTGTACTAGAAATTTTTTTAGGTGAGATATAACTGAAAGTAATATTTTCATAGTAAGGTGCTTTTGGATCTTTTGAAATTATGCCATATATATATCTTAAAAATGCCCATTTTGGCTCATCAGGATGGTAACCACATACGATTAAATCATCGCAAGAAATATATCTCCTATCACCTTTTTAACCTTTGTATATATATTTAGCTTTATTGCCAAGAAAAAGATTCACCAAGATATTAGTCTTACCTGATTCACTTTTCCCTGTAACTATCATCTTGAAGAGCCATGATAGACTAGCAGGATGAGATTGGCAACAAGATGTGACATATTTATTAGCTTCGTCCATATCTATAAGGAAAAGTTCCATTTTCTGCATGTTTATTTCTATAGAAAGGTAATATATATTTCTTAATAATTTTTCAAGAAATATTAGTCAATTATCTGTTCCACATATCTTATAACTGATCACTTTTTTTACCTATACTTAATTCGCGTCTAAATACCACGAACCATATAATAGTAATAATCAGTAAGATAAGTAATATATATGCTGATAATGGTGACATTAAACCACTTGCTACAACAGGAGTTGCTTCTATTCCTCCTACTGAAATCTGAGGATATGATTTGATCAGAGAAGGTGTATAATTTTCCTGTTGTACGAGCTGAGAGGTTATATTCTCAGGTATAAATGGTGATATATCTGGTTTTATCGATATATTTAACATATGTGCTTTAGCACTAGTTTCACTATTATTCTTGTTAATTTCACTAATACTAGTTTCAGATGCGTTAGCATCCTCACTCTATGAATTACTTACCTTGGGGCTTATCTCAGTATCAACTTTTGGAGATGTGGCATGGCCTCGAATTACTGATTCCTCAGATATGAGAATACTTTTTCCACATGCAAGATATGGGACAAGACTATTATTACCAGAGGCAACAATTTCACAACTAGTATTCGATATGGAACTTTGTTTCTCACTTTGTGTATTTTTTTCGTCATTCCTACCGATCACAGATTTTGGTTGTGTTAACTCCACTGAGATATCTTCTGATTTCAGATGTTCAAGCTCACTAACCTTTGAGACTAACTCACTTCTCACTTGCTCCAATTCAACTTCTATTTGTTTAAACTTAACCATTTTAGATTTAATGGATAGATTCTCGGATTCTGTTTTTGATAAGCTTTTCTGAATCGAAAATACGTCTTTTTGAGCTGATGCTAACTTACCCTCCAATATCTTAATTATAGCCTGGTGTGATTTTATTTCTTTTAATTGTATATCACATCTGGTTTTATACTCATTACGGAAAATCTGTGATTGGGTAATCTGAGATGTAAGGTTAGTATTATTTACTTTCAATTGTTTAACCTCATTAAAAAGTTTCTCTTTATCTTTATTGGTTTGATTTAGATCAAGTTGTAATTGTGCTTTATCCTGTTTAATATTTTTACTAAACTCTGAATATACCTTCCGGTAGTTTTTAAAATCCTCAATAAGTTCAAAATTGGTTATACAACTATCACGTAAAGCTTCTTCAAGTTCCACTTCCCTAGTTCTCCCAAGTCGATATCCTTTTGGTGAGTTGATATCTCGCATTGTACATACATTGGTCATAATTATTTGATTCAATATGTATTGATATTTACTAATTCCTATTTTTAAAAAAAGAATCAATATGTATTAATATTGTAACAATATGTATCAATATGTATCAATACTTATCCATAGGTATTAATATTATAACGATACATATCAATACTCATCAATATGTATAATATTAGAATCAATATGTATTAATATATATCATTGTATCATTGTATCATTGTATATATTGGAATCAATACATTTTGAAAAAATATTGATACTTTTTTTCTAATATATCAATCTTAAAATGATTACTCATATTCAACAAAAATTTTATCGATCCAATGTGACTCGATTATCTGAATCTAATATTAAAAAAATTAGAGAATCACAGGGGAAAGTACCAAATGCATCAAAGAGAATGGCAAAAAAATTTCATATTGATGCTCGTCGTGTTTATGAAATATGGGAACATAATGAGCGTCTTCAACAGGGTCTTGATAAATAGGATGATTCTCTACCTTTTGATTCGAATAATGAAGCATGTACTAAATCTGTTAAAAATATAAAATCCAGGTCTAAGCTTATTCATAATTCTGATTAATCTTCCATTAGTAATGGTTCAATCAATAAGGTGAATAAAATATTAGAAACTATACCACCTGAAATCTCGCAAGAAACTGAAGATCCTTTGCAACTCTTTAAAAGAATACAAAAAGATGCTAAAAAAAGTAGAGCAGTTACATGTGCTGATATTTTTAAACTATCTATTGCAGAACAATGACTTAAAAACCTACTCTTAATTTGAAAGTATAGAATTGATTTCTTTTTTATACTGATTACACAAATCATTATAATATCCAATAAATTCTGAATTGGTTTGAACACTAGTGAATAGTGCTTTTTCAAGTTCCTTTATATGGATAGTCATACTTTTACAATTTACACATTTTTTTTTAAGTTTTTCTCACTAGTCGAGCTAGATGAGATGGTAGATACTTGAGGTGATAAATCTTGCTTCTCTTTTGGTGGATCCAATGCTTCTGGGATCTTGCTAAAAGTTGGGATAATGTAAGTCTTACCATATAATTTCATTTGGAATTGGTTTTTATTTGGATCAAGAATATCTTGAACTTTTCGAATCCATGTCATACCTAAACATAACATTGGTTCAGGTTCACCATTATCAATATGTGTAAAATTTTCAGTAGCTGTACTAGTTTTACTATCCTTATCTTTTATACTGACTGGCATATCCGTAAACCATCCCAACAATTTGGTAATATGTTTAGAGTTACCTTTTATATCAAAGTCAGATGGCTTGTCAGCTTTCTATCCAAGAACATTAATTACTGCATCATTCAAGGCTCCAAATTTATTTCCATTATCTAAAAATAATTCAGAAATAGATAAATCATTTATACTAGCATTCAGGTATTGTAGAGATGAAAAACACTCATCTGATTCTTCCTTCTGAACTGTATAAGATTGGCACATTTTTTGCATTACCGGTGAAAGCTTTGAAAATAATTCATTATATTTTACTGGTAATATCTATTTTTTTTTTTCTGATGAATCATACCATATATCTTTTTCTTCATTATATTCATTTTCATTACTTTTCTCATTAGTTGAAATGCTAGAATTTATTAGTTGAAAAGGATAATATCATTACGTTCGATTTAATTTGGTTACTGGTTTTTGGAATTGATTTTCAAGTACCATTTTTCCAAATTGAGATGTCATTTGTCCAATTTCATCTACTTTTGATTCTATTCTATCCATTCTAGCGAATTGGTTTGTTTTTTGAAAAGGTTTTTTAAGATAATGTGAATCTAAATCTTAATTACTATATATACCTAAATCATTAAAGTATTTCGTTATATAATAATTTTTATATTCTGTTTTTAAATTTGATGGGGAACCTCTTAGCTGTCTAACCGGTTCAACAGTTTGTGAAACTGGTGTCTGTGTTTTCTGCACTTTTTGTGATTGAAGTTTAGCTTTCAATTTTTCTATTTCAGCTTTGTGCTCTGTTTGCTGTTTTTTTAATAATTCTTGCTGTTTATTAAATTCATC